TGGACCATAATCCAGATCCTGGAATTTTTTTTAAGGATTCTTCACTACTGTGACTGTTGGAAAGGCTTTTGACTGCATGTGAGCCCTCTTGTGCTGAAAGCTCACGGCTGCGCTGTTGAGCAACTTGACTACATACATACAAATCCCTGAGCCAGTGACAGCTGCCCAGGTGAGAGCCAATCGGAATTATTTTGCACATTATTACAGTAGCAAGCCACCAGGCGCTATTTGTGTCAATGTGTTTTTGACAGCGTCCAAAACTTGTGCCTGCCAACTCTGTCCACAATTTCTCACTGTATTTAGAGCAGGGCTGCCAACTGTCAGACCACATGTCCATTTTATAACACAGTGAAAAACAACCTTATAACTGACGTAGTGGTACTAAAGAGGACACCAAGTGAACAGACAGGACAGCAGCACAGCGTGTCTCTTATCTTCTCATGCACTGTGTAGACAAGAAAGAGAGTAAATTACTTTGGGAATCTGCACATGGGTATTGTGATGGCAGTGTCCACCCTCTTTGATCTGTCTAACTGGCCAGAAGAAACAGCTGAAGTGGCAACATTTGGCTATGTGAAGGCTTTACATCTGTAGCGGTAGATAGCAGAGAGTGGCTTGACCTGAAAATCCTCGTTCAGCATCACAATAGGCACCGGTGGCAGCTGCTGCTTTAGGGTGTTTTTGGAAGGGAAGACCAGTTTGAATACATAAATGTCATACTTGAGATGACATGTGTTCCCCCGAGTTCATCTTGCTGAAAATGTGGAATCTCCAGCATGTAGCAAGTCAAGTCAGACTGGAGATCCTGCTTGTCTAACGGCACGCTTGGCTTCCTCCTGCACATCTCATTTCAGGGCCTTCCTGCAGAGCAATTCAGTAAAGCAAAAGTAATTAAGGCCTAGCCCTAGCCCCAACCCTGGCTTGGCAGCAGTGTGTCAAGCTTCGTGAAAATGTCTGTTAGGGTGTATTTTATGTGTTATAGTTAGCAGATTGTAAAGTTCCCTCTTCCCTAAAAGCATAATTTATTTAATCACATTTTCTCGCTTTGTGAAAGTCCTTTGTGGTGTGGCTACTTTCAAATCTTTTCAGATTAAATTAAATAGAATGTTTGATGGTTGATCATCTGATCATTTGTATGATGTTTTATTTAATCACTTTGAATTTGGCATGATCCACATTCATTTCTGGATGACTTCAATTGATTTTTGATGTGCACTAATCTAATCTAAACACACTAATCTTTCTAAAGGGTGTAACTGCTGATCTTTGTCCTATGAATCTACTATAGTGATAAGTTTAAGCAAAGCCTGAAAACCTGTGAACGTTTGGCTGTGACCCTAAAGAAAATCAGCTGTATGTGAATGAGATTTGCTGCAAAATATTTTTAAGTCTAATATATGTCAGAACAATTAATACAAATTTTATTTGAAAAATCTTTTTTTGAGAAAATATTTAAATTGGGAATGTTGTGAAGATTGTCAAACACATTCTGTGTTTAGGTAAAAAAGTTAAAAACACCTGCTGTATAGGCTTGTAGGAAGACAATGGGAAATGCCAGGTTTAGCTGGCTTAAACACATTTTATATATTTGACACTTAATTAATCCAATAGCAGGAAAAGAAAGTTTACCAAACAAAATACACACACACACATTTATATGTGGGTTAACCCCATGCAACAGAAAATGTTTAAAGGTTAACCTGCACACAGCTTGTCTCAGACTTCCTCCTCTACCAACATTATTTAAACGGGTTGTTTTACAACACCATTGTCCCAATACACTGTGCTTTCATATTGTGGGTTTTCAGTGAGCTAGAAAGACGGGAGGTGCGTCCGAAATCACCTACTAAACATGTGCATACTCTTTGTGTGGAATACCTACTACTCTTAATGAAAATGCAGTAGGCACTGCAGCCACTGTCTAGCTAGCACAACTTCGGACATACTACTACACAGTCATCTTGCCTCTGATTCACCCGGGAACATCAGTTGCTCGTTCTTCATTCATTTATAATAGTAGTATCGTAGCTGTCGCTGCTCATTTATCAGTTGTTATAGAGGGTAAAACTTATGGCGACATAGGCCTTGAGCCTAAGTACTTTGTTACATGAACCACCACATTGCACATTTTATCACGTACAAGTTACTGAATGTGATATACAAGCACAATGGCTATGCCTGCTAAGTAGAGCTAGCTAGCTGGCAGATTAGAGGGTCATCACATCTCCAAAAACGGCGGTAGAAATGTCTAACATACATATTTTAGTCTACTATGCAGTAGGCAAGTAAGCAATTTCAGATGCACCCAGAGACTATGAGCTACTGTAGAACAATTGTTAATATCATCAAGGAAAACAGATTTATGTTCAGTTGGCATTTTGTCAGTAGAACTTTGATAGATCATTCACCACCCTCTTTCTGGGCATAACAGTCATACACTTGGTATGAGGAACTCAAGTCATTGTTGCCAATGTTTTTTGGAGGGGACGTTTCCTCATTTATGTATAATGACGGGGGACTGTGCGAGAAACCATTTCCTAGTAATGAGGCTTGTCGCCGTGGCAGCCACTTCTTCAGTAATAAAATATGGGCAAGGCAAGTATATTTATAAAGCATATGTTCATATACAGAGCCAATTCAAAGTGCTACTAAATAAAACATTAAAGTATATACAGTACAATATCCACACAGATAGACAAAACAAAGATGCATAAAACAGATTAGATTAAAACATGGGAATTACTGACTCCTCTTAAAAACCTCTGACAGATGAGATTGCTTGATTTGAGCTTCCTGTTGTAATGTGAAAATAATTTGATACATTATCCAAGTGCACATCTCTACTTTTCACATTCCTGGGAAATACAGCCAGCAGTGTAGCAACAGAAATATTTTAGATTTAACAAAATTATTATAAAGACACTTCAAGACTGAAATCCACACCTCTGTGTTTACTCAAACACACTTTAAACCTTGCATCCAAAGTGCAGTCCAGGTACTTCTGATGGTTTGGAGATTTGGAGCTATGTCTGCTTACAGAAGCAATTATCGGTGTTTCAGTTGTAGTTGTGGGAGCAGTTATGGTTGTTGTTTCAGTTGTGGTTAGGGGAGTAGTTAGTGATTATAAAAGAAAATGTCTAACTCGGAGACAATCATATCTTCACTAAGACTGAGTAGTGCCTTACTGTTTTGTGCAGTATATGATCTTTTAATGTCTGTCAACTCCATGCATTGAATGGAAATTTCATCTGATTGTACATAGTGCCTAGTTTGTCTATTGCTCCTTGCTCATTTACAGCAAGAGTGATCATAGGTGATAGAGGCTGCTATTATATAACCTGAAAAGCTAGATACAGTATGTTCAGAGACACTTGAAACCTAAAACACACCATACAACTGGAAAAATCTGCAGTGCAGATGCAATAGGTTGAAAATCTAGTTACTTAATGTTAATTAATGATTAGTGTCACTGCTTCTAGTGAGTCATATTTGGCAAAACTGGACAGTCTTAATATGCATAGGTGAAATTAATTTTCATTCTTTAAGAAATGAGTAAAGTTGTAAGTTAAAGCCAAGATAGGAAACATTTAGGTGCTTAGTAGTTAGGGCAGGATTACTAACACAGAACATGACACTAGAAACACAGAAGAGTACAGTAAGCCTCTACTGTAAGTCACCGATCCTGTTTGTGATTTGCATGGACTGGTTCTAAAGGCACAGCCAGGGGAGGGGAGTGTCCGATTTAGGGACCTCAGAATTGCATCTCTGCTTTTTGCCAGTGGTGTGGTTTTGTGGACTTCATCAGTCTGTGACCACCAGCACGCACTGGGACAGTTTGCAGTTCAGTGTGAAGCAGCAGGGATGAGAGTTAGCACCTTCAAAGTCTGAGGCCAAAGTGGTCTTCTGGAAAACAATGGGCTTCTCCAGGTCCTCCAGGTACATGCAAGTGGTAGGAGACCCCGGGGAAGACCTAGAACATGCTGGAGAGATTACATGTCTTAATTGGCCTGGGAATGCCTTGGAATCCTGCCAGAGAAGCTGGAAAGCATTTACAGGGAGAGGAATGTCTGGACTGCCTTGCTGAACCTGGTGCCACCATGACCCAATCTCTGATAAGCGGAAGAAAATGGATGGATAATACTAATGGTTTTGGCTAATGCTGTCTTTTGCTGTTTTTCTAAGTTCGCTGGTAGTCATTGATGGTGGAAATCAACTATGTCTTTGAAGGCATAGTAGTTGGTAAAGGTTGTTTGTAGACCAACTGTAGTAGCATAGATTAGGTACTTTTTCAATATAAATGCTATAAGAAGAGGTAGCCTACTATGGTACATTGGAGCTGTTAGACTATACTAAACAATAGGCAGCATGAAAAGCCCATAAGAGAATGTGAAGGCCTACCTGTACTTGCTGCCTTCACTGTGTGCTCCTCTGTGAGCTGGTCCTTTCCTGCCAGCACACACTATTGGTGAGCAGTCAATCACAGGTGGTATCAGACAGCACTGAGCAAGGAAAGTAAGTTTAGTGCACATCATGCAGGTAGCCCAAGTAATTTAACAAAATAAAAGAGCATTTAAAATGTGCAATAAATAAAACAAATCATGGCAATGCTATAAAAGCAACAACAATAAAAATCAGTGGTCACAGCATAGATAAAAATACAAAATGAAATAAAATACCTTTCCAAGAAAACTAGACAATAAAATACCAGCCCTGTGACACTGGACTATGCATCTAGTTGTGCATAACAAAAACTTGTACAATCCAACTTAAGGCATGTGAACATTTTTTACCCTTACACAGAAGACCTCCTTTGACTTAACATAAAATACTAAGAGTGTCTAAACTCTGCTATGCACATGCCTTAGGGTATAAATATGAGCTAAGTCATTTTAATAATAAAAAGCCGTCAGTATTGCCTAATCAGTTGTCTTAGTTCTGTGAAAAACACGCACACAATTAATTCAATATGTGGCCACGATGGTTCCTTGGCGGAACTCTTTTGCCCGGACAGTTTCAGTGTAACACACCTTGCGCATACTCACTTGTTTATGGCATCTGCATACTGTGTTAGAGTAACTAGTTCGCTGATCTAGGTAATGTTTTTGCAAATACAGTGATGTGCTTTGCGTTATTGAAAGTGAAGGAACTTTGCACGAGTAAATTGTCGGAATATTGTGTTTTTGCAAAACATTTAACGTGCAGAAGTGTTAGTATGACTAACTAGTATTTGTTTTGCTAGCTAGCTAAATGACGCAGAGTAACGTTGCTATCAGACGCTAGCCCGAGGTTAAAATGTGTTTCTCAGCATGTGCCCTGAATAATTAAACTTTAAATGTCGAGAATTTTCGCACAAAGCTGTTCAAGATGTGTGTCTAGTGATTTTTAAAATGTTACCGCAAGGCAAGTGCCACGCTGGAAATATTTTTCTAACAGCTAAATCGTTTTATTATAGTCAACGGCACTTAACGTATGTCATATGTCCACAATAATGTGCCAGCAGTCTTGTAGAAACAAATAATGGACAAGGACTTGTTGAGGCAGTGTTTGACATATCATGGAGAATCATTGTTCAACAAACTGAAATGTGAGCAAACGGAAAACCCAGATTTCCAAGCTGTGGTGTCTGACTTGTGCAAGGCCACGTATGAGAGGTAGGTCAGAGAGCTGTGACATGCTTCACATGTGGCTTTCACATAAATCCTACAATGCTTCCCTTGTGTCATGTGTATCTAAAATATGCTATATGTATTTTTTTTCCTGTATAATTTTTACTTTTCTTGAAGATATTTCCAGCTTGGATATGAAATTTGATTTATTATCCAATCTTATATTTTGATATAAAGATTAAAAAAAATCACCTGTCTTGCATTACATTTAATGATTTGTTTTATTTCTATTTCTCATTTATATACCAAGGATCTTGATATATAGTCGGTCTCATATAGGGCTGCAGCTAACAGTTGTTTTTAGGTTAGCTATTGGAATGTCTTTAACAAATACTGAATTCAGTTTCCACAAAAAAAATGGCCTTAGAAGATGTCATGTTTGGAAGTCTTAAATATGTTTCCTGCCAAAGGCTGTAATGTTAGTTATAAAATGTTTTTGTCTGATTGGTCCTACTTAAATGAAGTTAGATGAATTGGTTCTTTTAAATTGATTAATCTGTCAATTTTATGTCATTGATGCAGGAGAATGAATGTTTATATTTAATGTATATCAGGGGTGAAGGGCAGGGCAGTCCCCTTGTGGAGCAGTTCATTGCCAGGAAGGCTGACATCCTGTTCTGTCCATCATGGAAGACCACCACACTTCAAGAAGAAGAGCATGAGGAGGAGGAGGAGGAGGAGGAGGCTACAGGTAGGTGTTGGTTTCACCTCACTAAGCTGTCAATTTAAAAAAAATAAAATTTTATTTGTGTGAAAATAGTTCTGTGCT